CATTATTTGTTATAACACGTTGTTTTTCTATGTATTTTACCTTTGAGATGTTCAGAACCCTCAACATTCACGGATGCATTTCTATTATACTTTCTATTATAATAACATCGTCAGGTTTAACTCATCTGATCTGACAGACATTTGACAACATTTGTGTACCTTACACATTCATTTGTAAAGACAAATGAATGTGTAAGGTACACCAGGTCTAAACAATGGGGGAAAAAAAGATTAACATTGTATCTGAATATATGAATTTTCCCCCTTTTTCAAAATGATTTTTCTCATCAGAATAATTTAGAATAACCTAATCTTTAATAAGCATTGATATTTGCACAGACCAGTACAAACATTATTTTATTTGACACTGTAGTTTAAAAATATATATAGCATCAAAATAAATGTTGCAAATTGAAGTCCAGTCTAAGGTATTTTTATAACTATGGTACTGTTACTAATGTACCGTTACACTGACATGATCAATGCAAGTTGTCAATAATCAGACCATCCAGCACATAAAATGTTTTTCTTTGCTTTCTTTCACGCAAAGTGTAAAGAATAAAATGTAATAAAACAGTTATCTATATTACAGAATAGTGATTAAAGTTTTCCTTGCTCCTACTGAGGTCAAAAGTGATGATCTGTATCAGTATTAGATGTATTCGTGTAAACCGTGATAACACGTTCAGACTCTATGGTTTTATCTAGTAAGTAACATAACTTTTTCAAAATATATAAACCTAAAGGAAGTTAAATGTTTTTGGACTGTGGTTATGATCGTTTCAATTTAAACATCTCGGTACTTTTTCCAGAAAGTCATTATAGTAAAACTGATGGTGTGTTCGCGTGATATGTTTAAAGGTTGGGTTTGTTTCTGTTTTCAGATCACTCAGCGCTACACTTGGACCACCGTCGTCGAGGCAAACCCCAACCGGCCCGGCAGCCCGAGGTTAATCCTGTGAAAGATCCCAGCACCAGCCCTCTCCGGCAGCTCCTCCCCTACCTCCTTCTCCAACAGATTTTCCCCTGACTCAGCCAGTAGCACGTCTCCAAGCTTCTCTTTTAGCTCCTCTTCCAGCTCCTCCTCTTCCTCCAGCTCCTGCTCCTGCTCTTCATGTGTCTCCTCCTCTCGCTCTTCCTCTAACTCATCCTGTAGCCCTCCTAGATTCTCCCCCAGCTCCTCTCCTCCTAGCAGAGGACCAGAGGATGAACTTTGAAGGTGCTTAATGATCAGAACAAGATCATCCTCAGAATGCTGCCAATAGCGAGCTCCCCTGAATAACCCAGCGAGGTTTGGACATGGAGCCCCCCTGAGAGTCCTCAGACTGCCATCAAGCCTCATCTGACAGCTGGCCCTGAACTGAAGTGGGAGAGGAACCTGCGGGCCCTCATGGGGAGGCAGGCAGCGTGGCAGCATGGGAGGTAAGAGAGCTGCTGGAGCTCCTGCAGGTGACGCAGAGGGAAGCGCTCTTTTAACAATTAATTGATTACATTTGATCTGAAATTTGTCTAAATTTGTCTGATCTGATGTGATTTGATGTGTGGATTTTATTTGAATTAACTTTATGTGATTTGTTTGATCTGATCTGATCAGATTTGATTTTAATTGATTTTAAGTGATTTCATCTGGTCGGATTTGATTTGAATTACTTTGATCTGATATGACATGAGTGTGCTTATTAGCTCACTACAGGAATGATTAAATATTCCCCCAAATTTTACTCTGATTTCTGGTCCGTAAACATAAAATAGTATGTCACCTGGAAAAATCTCAAACAGCAGGTGAGACTTTTTGCATTGGATTCTGTTGTTCGGTTGTATTCCTTTTGAATTTTTCAGCTCGAACTTTGAGTGACTCCAGGACTGAACAGAAGAACCCAGAGGACACTGATAGTAGACAAGAGACGAGAGACACCCAAAAGTGAAACATAGGTGAGGGAACAGGCCCACAAAGAAAAAACAAGATGAAAACAATGAAGACAAATCGCACTATGAGTAAAGAGATAAAGAAAAACCCTTAATGAGACCTGAAACTAATGAACCCAGAGATAATGCGCAGCCCAAAATGAGAGAAGGAACTTATACAATATACAATATTGGCCCTATGGATACTGTACAGTGTGTTTACAGACTAAATATTTAATAAATATAGCTGAGAAAATGCAGTGATGTATCTCAGAATTATCTAAAGGTGTATCCATGTTTTTTTCATTCAGACCTGTCTTTGGGAGGTTCCAAGCCCTACAGGATGTGACCGAGATGAGCAGCAGCTCCAGGATGAGGAAAGAAATGAGAAACAAACCAGGATCAGAACATTAGACGACCAACACACAGTAATCTAAAGATTAAAAATGTATGTTTACATGAGTGTGTACAATGATACTGTTACATGAGAAAAATATTATTTATCTTTATGTCAGAATTGATGTGAAATTTAATCTGTTTTTACTTTTCCTTCAGGGCTGTCTCCAAGATTCTCAATTATTAAAATCGACACGATCAAACTGTGTATCTTTTACACAGTTTGATCGTGCCTCATTAAAAAAATCAAACAAGAAGAATTGTCTCTGTTTGGTTTTAAGGCATTTTCCTTTCATGTTAGATGTTCCTTCCATCCATCGTCAACCGCTTATCCTGCGTACAGGGTCGCGGGGGCATTTTAGATGTTGAAAAATCTAATTGTAGAGAAAAATTAAACCTTAAAAAAAACCCAACCCTTTCAGAGCCATTGGCCGTACTCATAAATATAAACCAACATAATAATTTAATACACAAATGCTGCATACCGTTGTATAAAAAGACTAAGCTATTTGCTGCAGTGATAACAGCGACAGCAGAGATCATGATATTCTCTAGTGGGCACAGTTACAACTCTGTCTCCACCAGTCTGAACCATCAGATGTCTTCCCTCCACATATCCCCTCTTCAGTTTATCAGGCCAGCTGGCCAGGTGGATTCAGACACATTCATTATGCACCCAGAGTTTCCATGTTGTTTGAGAGTATGTGAAAATCTCACAGCAGGTTTCTCATGGTCAGAGAATATATAAGTGAATGAGGCAGTACATCTTAGCTTTATGCAGAAACAGTGTTTAACAGATTATTAATGTAGGGATATATAAGAGAGGAAGAAAATTATATTATGCAAACACAATGTAATTGAACAGTGACTTATGAATAAAAACAATAGCTTAATTCAAGGCAATAACAACAAATTCAATTTGGAAGAGGATTTTAACTTCAGTCAAAATGTTAAAATCCAACTTTCAGACATGTATCTCATGCATTTTATAGCTTTTTTGTCTTGTCTCTTTTTGACTTCACAGAGGTAACTGTCCAAATGAGTAAGAAGATATCTCTAAATTGGCTTTTTGTTGAGACGTTTTTCTGACAAAAATAATCTAAAGATTTATAATAAATTAAAATTGTGAATAGGCAGTAGAATAACATATCAACATGCGTGTGTGTGTGTGTGTGTGTGTGTGTGTTTAATATACAATCTTAATCTCAGAAGTAACCAATAGCTCTCAAACAAATAGTAGCCTAGCCTATATAAATAGGAGTGGACTAAAAAGTACAATGTTACATTTTGAAAGGAAGTACAAGATCAAATAGCAAAAAACGGAAATACTCAAGTGAAATACATGTATCAGAAAACTAAATGTACTTAGTTACTCTCCGCCTCTGTACATTGACATTTAGCTTCTCTGACAAGCATTTTTCCAAATCTTTAAGGATTTCTCGGTGTGTGGTGGACAGCCACACTTCTTCCTGACATTCGGAGGATGTTATTATTTACGAGGTGCACTTGAATGCAGCACCGCACACACACATACACACACACGCACACGGCGCCGCAGCCACTGCCACGTCAAACGTGACGTAGCAGGAGGTGTAGTCCGGGTGGGAAGCGTCTCAACCAGTACAAGAAACCTCACAACGACCGGCTTTAATGGTCTTAAACCCGAGAGAGGCACTTGTTACAGGTAAGAGTTTAATATTTCATTCATATTATGTGTTATGTTGTCACCGAGGTAACGGGCTCCACCACAGTCCAGCCTGATTGCTGCTGCTAGTACCTGCTGGGCTCTGGAGCTGCTGTCACTCGTGTGCTGCTCCCGCTGAAGACAGCGGCTAAACACAAGTGATTAATGCATATAGCTTGTATAGCAAACGCGCTTATTGTGAATAGCGGAGCTTAGGAACGGTGAACTTTTCATTTTATTACACCAAAACCGAGTTTCTCTCTGCTACGAGTTCAGTGAGGCATAACGTTACCTGCTGTGTTTTGGTGAGAGTTGCCTTGACACAGCCTCCTGGAAACATAAAGTTTGAAAGCATTATGAGGACAGTAAAAAACGTTAGACCACGATTATGTCTAACTATTAGCTATTAGTTTAAAGCAGATGTATTGTTGGTGTATGTTGCTGTAGCCCTCAGCATCTCTTTCAGCAGTGGTACGATGATTTCCTGGTACAGCAGGCTGCTCATCTTGGGTGTAAAGTAATTAAACATTCCAGTAATTAAAAGCTTTACCTTTAGTTTCAGTGCGTAGAAGATGTATATTTCCTGCTCCTTTACTGGTTGTGCTAGTTTTTCTGGCTGTGACAGCTAAGATTATGGAAATACTTATGTCTTGAGTCCAATTTTCACCAGAATAGCCCTACCCACCCAACACATTTTTGACCAGCCACCAACCAAATATTATTATTTCCCTACATTATGGCAGGTATGTAACTCTGCTAGGGAACACTACAGTCCTTTCATTATGACTTTTTTTTTTGCTTAAACACAATCAAATACAAATCAAATCAAATTATCACAATTAGCCATAATAACCCAGGAGATGTAATATGTGTGTAATTGTAGAATGCAACTCCTCTTCATGACCTTATAATTTTCACGTCCCGAAATATGGACTGAGGTCATGAGGACATGACAGCCCTGTTCTTCCCATTTCTTCATCTGTGTTTCAGTGTGGCAGAGTTAATCAAAGGCATCATGGACCCAAATGCTAGCGGACTAGCCCAGAGGTTGGCTGAAGCCGAGCAGTGTCACCTCCTGCGATTCTGGAATGAGCTGAGCCCTGCGGAGCAGGCCGACTTGACCCAAGACCTGCAGGGGATGGACTTTCAGGAGATGAACGGATTCTTCAAGAACGCAATGCAGGTATCCAGCAACAAACACGAGAAGCTGGACAACCACATAGAGCCGTTGCCCCGGGAGGTGCTGGGGAGTGTGACGAGGGACAGGGAGAGTCTTAAAGACTGGGAGCTAACAGGTGAGCTCCCTCAAAATATTTTCTGCCCCCAGGAAGTCATACAGCTACTGCATTTGCTATAAGAAAACAAAGAGGATGTTTTTGGCAATAAATGTAATAGTAATAATAATGCATTACATTTATGTAGCGCTTTATCATTGATACTCAAAGTACTTCAGAGTGAAGTGTGGAGACTCCACCAAAGATGTTATCACAATGTCATATGTCATACAGTAGGAGAGAACGTGTTTAATTACTAGTTGTTAAGCAAGACTTTCTAGTTAATGCAGGAAGGAACGGTCCTCTAGAGAGACTGAAGCCAAGCACTGAAGTCTTGTTGTTGAGCAACTTTCAAATACGAAGTGATGGCCCACAGGTGAGAGAGAGGAGAGATCTCTTAGTATCAGACTGGGAAGCCTAAAGGGGATTAAAACATCACATGGTACCTCAGGTGCTTTGATGTTGAGATGGGAGAGTGGGTGTCCTGATAATTTGTGTTGCTGGTACTTTAGGCCAACACAAGATTAGCTTTTCACATTGAGCAGCATCAGAATCGTGCTCTTTGCTTGCTGTGTGGTTGTCTAAACTCACAAAATATTCAAACTACGCCCAGTCTCCTGCGTATATTTGAAATATGAGTAAGTCAGCTTGCGTTGTTCGTTGTACTTTTGGCAATCACCCTAGCAGTGGGGGTCTGACCATTTAGCGAGTGTGTTGAGTTTTTTCCTGCGGGACGATGACAAAGGAGGCGGGCAGCAGAGAACATCTGGTTTTGATCTGGGCCTGATGTAAATAGAGTTGCTGCCTGACCCTTATTCATGAGGTCACTCTGCTCTGTCAGGACCAAATCAGGGCGTGTGTGTGTGTGTGTGTGTGTGTGTGTGTGTGTGTGTGTGTGTGTGTGTGTGTGTGTGTGTGTGTGTGTGTGTGTGTGTGTGTGTGTGTGTGTGGGTTTTGGAGAGTAGTCAAAGTCTAGCAGGCCCGCCCAGTCCACTGATATAAAACTTGTCTTTTGGCGCTTGTAATTAAAAAACATATTGCACATCAAGTCACGTAGCAGCAGTCTATGTTAGATAAGCTGGAGCAGTCATAAAGCAGTGAACCATCATAAAGGTAATCAAAGACTCAGGCAAGTTATTGGATTTCGCTTCAGGGCTAATTTATTATGTCACATAGACAAAGTCCTGTAGAACTAGTCATAAAAATTAAAACTTTCATGCTCTCTGCCCTTTCAGGTCTGCGCTGCATCTCTCAGAGTAAAGTAGCTGTCCTGCTGCTGGCTGGGGGCCAGGGAACCAGACTGGGGGTCTCTTACCCCAAAGGCATGTATGACGTGGGCCTGCCGTCCCACAAAACCCTCTTTCAGATCCAGGGTGAACGCATACTGAAGCTGCAACAGCTGGCTGAGCAGCGGCACAAAATCAAGTGCTGTATTCCCTGGTAAGACCTCATGTGGTGTAGGAAGACATGACTGAGGCATTTAGTTAGGGTGCCTGTCAGTAGAATTGCTGCTTTATTTGAAAACAAAAAACAGATCTAAGCTACCACAAACTGTCTCTCTATTCGTAATGACAGCTGAAACCGCGATCAGCTGGATCAGATCACTTAACAGCATCAAAGGAAATTCACTCAAAGAAGTAGTCTTACTGGAAAAGGATTACTTCCCTGTCGAGAAGATCCATGTTAAATTTGAACGATAGAGATACCAGGAAGTCAGTGGAGTGCATAACATCTACCTAACACTGTAGTTAGGGATTAACAGTTACTGTAGATTATATAGCATAGAAATGGCGTAAACTGTCATACTTTATATTCCTTTGGCTGACATTGGCTTTGTTTTATGTTTTTTGTGAGTAGTCACTGAAGAAATGTTCAACAGCATTTAAAAAAAACAAACAAAAAAAACATTTCTGTTTACTTGGAAGGGTTTTCCTAGGTGTGTGTCCCCTCTTGCCTCAGCTACCCATTTCACACCTGTCGTATAAATGATTTAAAATAGAGAGGAAAACAAGAAATGCATAAAGCAATGCTAAGTTCCTTCTGTGTTGCCTTCAGGTACATCATGACCAGCGGCAGGACAATGGAGTCCACCAAGGACTTCTTCTCAAAAAATAACTATTTTGGCTTGGACAAGAACAACATCATCTTCTTTCAGCAGGGCATGCTGCCAGCCATGGACTACACTGGCAAGATCATCCTGGAGAACAAGGGGAAGGTCTCCATGGCGCCTGGTGAGCCCTCTCAGGATTTGTGCCTTTTGCCTCCCTTCACAGGGTTGCCAAGTGGAGTTTTGTGTGTTTCAAACGAGTGTGTCTGTGTTTGTGTTTCAGATGGTAACGGGGGTCTTTACAGAGCACTGGGGAACCAGGGCATCATGGATGACATGGAGAGGAGAGGGGTTGGCTTCATCCAGGTGTATTGCGTAGATAACATCCTGGTCAAAGTGGCAGACCCTGCCTTTGTTGGTTTCTGTGTGCAGAAGGGAGCGGACTGTGGAGCTAAGGTTGGTCACACCTCCTGCCTCTTTTTTTCTGATTCAGCATCTCTGCAGCACTTTTTAAGGATTTCTCAAGACGAATTATCATATAGTATAATTAGGTATGGTATTAGGAGGTTGTGGTCGGAAACTTTTTAATTTTAAAGAACTTAATGTTGTGGTTTCTTTTTCAAGAATCAGCCCATCGATAGTTTAACTATCACTTTTCTCGTCAGCTGGATGCTCCACAACTCACCACTGGGTGGTGATACAGGCCGCTTTGTCTCCTCCTGTAGTCTTCTTCAGCAATCAATTGAATTCAGCTTTCTAGGAAATTTGAGGCTTGAGCCCAGAATCTTCCTTCACTTTTCATCTTGGTCTCAGACAACATGAGTGTGATGTGGCCACTTTTCCCTAAAAATGGTCTTTGGACAGAGTGTACTTTACTCACTGGTAAATACACCATGTTCATGATAAATTTTCTTTTTTTCTAGTTTGGCTAGTAGTTTTTATCAGTGCAGCCAACACACTGTACATGAAATCAGTAGTTGGGAGGCACCTCACAGAACAGGTCCATCAGTTTGAGATAAGTTTAGAAAGAAGTTCCACTGGCAAAGGTAGTTTAGTCAGTTTTGTCCTTTTGGTTACACTGCCCTGCCTATATATTTAATTCATCAAGAAAGACACTACAAAACACACATTATATACAGTCTATTAAGGGACAACAATTCCCTTAAATCTTTTGGAGCCAGACAGAAATTTTAGACCATCAAAATGGTTTAACTGATGTACTGTACTGTAGTGATTAAACATATAGGTATTAGCCCCCTGCTATTTGATTGGACCGCCCGTGCTGAGCGGTAGGGATCTGCGAGGGCATGACATGCATGTCTGAGTGGCGTGCTCTCCCACCAAAGATCTCTGACGAGAACCTAAATGTGAGAGCAAATGGAGGAAAAAAATACAGTAATTATTGCAACAAACAAAACTGCACTGGGTGAAGCTGGAAGTGACTTTCTGGTTGTGCTGATTGGCCTGTTGCAGTGGATATCAGCTGGGTCTCCCACTCTAAAGTGGTCTGAGTAGTTGTTGGGAAGGTCAGCAACAATAGGCGATCTAAATAACAGTAAAAAGCAGGACGAGCCGGAGCTGGAAACTGATGCTTTTGACTGAGAACTTGATGAGTGATGATAGTGCATAAGCAGCAGGAGTTGTTCTCAAAGTCTAAATGCAGTATGTCGTTGCGGTCCAACATCTCCTGCTTGGGCAACAGGATATGATCTTAGATTTGTTCATAGATTTTTAACTAAGCGTTGCTGCCAGGTCCTCCTAATTTAATTTTGACAAAATGTTACCTGCCATGGCAACTTCGTCAAAACAGAGAGTCACGTTTTCATGACTAAGTTCATTTGATCAGTGTTTCATCCACTTGCTTTCACATGTAAATGAGGTCATGTTCGTTAGGTATCCAGAGTGTGAAGCTCTTGTTGTCCTCGGCATGTTATTTCTCTGCAGTACCACAATGAAATACTGTTTGTATTTGCCAGCTAACACAGAATAGGCTGAAATATTTAACTGTGTGGAACTTAAGATCGTCCTGACCCTGCTCCTGTTTGACATTATGAGTTGTGCAGTGGAGCAGAGATGGAAGGATCAGATCAGAGCAGAGTCCCACCCTCCCACCATAAATTACTAAGCTCCGCTGCAGTTCATGTGGCTTCACCACCGCCCCTAACCCCTCACTCCACCCTGTTCACCAACCCCCTCATCAGGACTCACTCTGTCATTAGCAACCAATGCATGGGGAGAGGGTTTTTTTCATTTAGTGCAGACTTTAACTTGATGGAATACACTTATTTGAATGTCAACCTTACCTAAACGTTTGGCCTTTTTTTACTCCTGTCTCTGCTATTTTGCCCACTTTCTTTCAAAGAGCAAAAATCCCATTTTTATAAATTTATTCACCAGCTATAATGTACTTCATCTCTGCCATTAATACAGAAGGTGTGATGAAAGGGGAACATCAGGGAATGTTTTTATGTTGTTTTGTTGTGTATTTTTTAATATAAAATACATGCTGTTTGACATCATTTCCAGGTGGTGGAGAAAACCAATCCGACAGAGGCGGTGGGTGTGGTCTGCAAGGTGGATGGGCGTTATCAGGTGGTGGAGTACAGCGAGATCACCCTCGCAACTGCTGAGAAGCGCAGCGCTGATGGCCGACTGATGTTCAATGCAGCTAACTTGGCCATTCACTTCTTTACCTTCTCCTTCCTCAGAGATGTAGTACAGTAAGACTAATGCACACTGAACAGATGCACACTTTCTTTAGGCTTTCAAGCTGAAAAAAATGTTTTTCAGCAGTTAGACTTCATTATAGTTAATGTGCAGCAATTTTTTTTTTCTTTTTTCTTTTCCGTTTATATATCAGGAAGTACGAGCCACAGCTGCAGCATCACGTGGCCCAGAAGAAGATCCCATATGTGGATTCAGAGGGTCAGCTAATCAAACCTGACAAACCAAATGGGATTAAAATGGAAAAGTTCGTCTTTGACATCTTCCAGTTCGCCAAGTGAGTTATAGAGCGTTTCTTTCCACAGAGGGCACAGAGTGCGTGACAGCGTCAGCAGACGGCTTCTCACCTCAAACTAAAAGGCCTTAAAGTCTACAATGAATATCTTATGCTCCCTTTGAGAGGTGGCTGGAGTGCGTATCTGGCAGGCCTTCAGGCCAGGGGTTTGACTGGTCCTTGATCTGTCCTTCCATGCATGAACCAACCCCTTTTTCCAGTCCCCATCCCCGTCTACCAGCCCCAGTCCTACCATTGCTCCAAAGTCTGGTCCAGCAGACTGAGCCTGCCAAGCGCTCTGCAGGAGGATGGAGGTTTATGAGCTGTTCACTCGTTCCACCTCCTCCAGTGTTGCGTGACATCAGCTTTGAGTCACGCCGCTACTAATAGAACTATATATCTAATGAAAGGATTCCTGTAATAATTGACTGACGGAAAAACACTGCAGTCATGTCCAGCTTCCTTCGAGGTTTATTCGCTGTATTTCAAAGTAAAAAGGATGAGAAATAGCTTTTTGTGTCGCTGAGGAGATGGATTACAGTTGTGCCCGGGCTGGCAGACTGGCAGCTTTAGCAGAATCCAGATGGTCTGACTCACTTTGCAGCCAGATTTCCGACTTTTCTCTGTTCTTTCTCTGTACTGTTTGGTCAAGGTTCTCATAAAGTCTGATGCCGTATATTATGTACATCTTAGTCAAAAGGCATTGCACATTTGGTTGCTATGCACCAGCCAACTGCTGATAATGCACATTTAATTTGCTTCCACCATGTAATGCATTATTTTTGACTCTTTATTTTGTGACAGAGCACTTGGCCTGATTAGTTTGGATAAAGCCTCCAGGAACAGCGCTGATGTGTGAGGTGATTTTGGCACAGTGGCCACACTCGATATTGTAGGATCACACGAAGCACCCTGACTTTCCCCCGTACACACTCATTACAAAAAGAACAAACAACCTGAAATGACTGTGAAAGGATTTATGATCAGAATTTGATCTATTTGGAAATTCTGAATAAGTTTTTAGTTGTATGATCCCTGTATGCAACTTTGAGGAATGAATAAGATGCCATCTTGGAACATAGTATCCAGCTTTCTTCATGCAGCCACACTACAGCTCAATTAATTGTTTGTCCAAGGCTGTTGTTTCGTGAATACCTGGAAGATAACACAATGAATTCTTATTCTTAATTATCCATATTTTTATGATAACCTGTTAATTGTGTGTATTTGGTGCCAGTTAGAGGTTTAACTATTTGTTAACTTTTTTTAGCCAGGGGGTATTTCACCAAGGACAGTGCTCTTATTTCAGGGACAGTGTGTTCACACCAAACTGGGCACCTGAAAGCTGCCCAGTTTGGCTGCCATTGGTGCAGTTAGGGATTAAATGTCTTGCTCAATGGTACCTCAGTGAAAGAAGAAAAACAGCCCTTTTTTAAGCTGCGCTGCATTTTTGAGATAACTAATGGGTTTTTAGGGGGTTTATTTAGGTTATGAAGTGGAAGGACTTTTTTACCTAAAAGGGAAAGAATATAAAATCTTTCAGTTTATATAAAAAAGAAAAAAATCAGCAAATTTGGGAGTTACTGGACAGTGACAAGATGCTGTACCATCTGACCGATTAAGACAGAGAGGGAGTCAGATACAGAGCAAGCTAGGGCAGCAGCAAACAATTTTTCTAGAATAATCTGTTCATTATTTTTTCAAATAATTAATATATTATAGAGCCCAAAGGTGACGTCTTCACAATGCTAGTTTTGTTTGACCATTAGAACAAAACTGAAACGTACTTGAATTACAATGATACAAAACACAGAAAAGCTGCAAATCCTCGCATTTGAGAAAGTGGAAGAGGAGAATGTTTAGCATTTACGCTGGATAGTTGATGATAAACTGATTTATCAGAATTATTTTGGATTAATTTTCTGGATGTCGACTGATTGTTTCATTTTTAAAGCAAGGCTGGGTTATGGTATGATGGCTTGCCATAAAGACTCTGTGCTGTTGTTTACATTATGGTATGTTTGCCTGTGTGCTGACATGCTGCTGTGTGTCCATCAGGACATTTGTTGTGTACGAGGTGCTGCGAGAGGACGAGTTCTCCCCGCTGAAGAATGCAGACAGTCAGGACGGAAAGGACACGCCCACCACAGCCAGACACGCCCTCATGTCCCTCCACCACCGCTGGGTGCTCAACGCTGGGGGCCACTTCATCGACGAGAATGGTAGACGTGTGCCTGCCATACCCAGGTAACCACAGCCAGCCCGCTAAAACACTGCATCGTGCATGTCATGTCACCTCACATGAAACACACACACAAACACACACACACATCATGTTTGGCATGAACACAGACGGGTTCCTCGTGGTCATTCCTACCTTCCCAACACTCCCCACACTTTGTGTACAAATTACATGCATCTGTTATTTTCTTTGTGTTATAGACATCATATTCTTTTAGCCTCACACTCTCACTCCCCCCTCTCTCATGCTTGGTCTTGCTCCTGTGTGTCCCATGCAATGTTTCCAGAGACGGAGCAGCAGGCAGTGTCACAGATGATGGCAACAGAAAGTAATTATTATCCCCCTGCAGTACAGAGTGCATGGTGATGGGGTTTTGGCTTTCTTTCCCTCTCGCTCAGACGTGTTAGCACTATATAACATTACTTCTGACCCTTGACGTCCCCTTTCCTTCGTTGCCACTGAAAATTGGAACACAAGCCAGTCGGCAGCTATTTTTCTGTCAGTTGTGATGAAGGAAATGACAGCAAGGATCAGTTTAGACAAGCGAAAGCGCAGTCCTCTTAGCGTCCTGGTCAGATGATGTGCAGTCATAATGACCTGCTGACAGACCATTTTCCCCTCAGATGGTTGCTACTAATGCACATAATGTATTGCATGCTGGGTGATGGGCACCAGTTACACTTTCAGTGACAGTTCTGCAATAGATGATGAACCTGTTGATTTGTGTGTGAAACAACAAGGCCAGCCGCTCATTGCTTTGCCTTTGAGTTTAAATCCACCTGCTTGTTTTTATGAATTAAAACGAGCATGCGCTTTAATAACATTCATGGTGCCCGTGAATGTTATTCAGGCTCTTTTTAAAAGGGTGTGCTTTTTTTCCTCAATCATTCAGCTTTTCCTTCATTCACATGAAATAGCTGGGCAGCTGCTCAGAAAACACTTGAAGGACCTGATGTGTGATTGTTGTCTGTATCTAGAAAAAACAAGTTGAGTGGTGGCAACGTGGTGGAAAGTTCCTCCAGTTTTTCAGAAGCACTCGGAGGAGATAACGCCACGTTACCTGCCATTCATCTGTTTTCTTCTAGAGGACGTCTGTCCTGGGTCAGACTAATTAACTGGTCGCGTTTGAGAATGATGAAGCTCTGATTGTCTGCCTTTGAACTCTAATCACAAGCTGCGGTAGAAGAACAGCTGTAGCGAGGATGGGCATCAGCTTCTCTCAACAACAGTCCCTCTGCCTTTTCATAAGAGAGTCACTCATTCTGTTTCATGTTTTTCTTCTCATCCTCACTGAATTTGTTCCTTTTCCAACGCAGCCTGAAGGATGGAACAGACCTGCCAATCAAATGTGAGATCTCCCCACTGGTGTCCTACGGGGGAGAGGTAAGGAGGCAAGGCACACTGTATTAAATGGTAACTCCAGATGTTACTCTGTCGCTTGAAATAAACAATCCGTACACCCACTAACAATGTCCCGATGGTGTCGTTTACTTCTTTAAGGGTCTTGAAGAGTTGGTGAAAGGACGTGAGTTTCATCCAACCCTGATCATCGACGAGCATGGGGTCCACGAGCAGGTGAAGAACGGAGTTTAGACAATGAAGGCGAGAGATGGAGACAGAGGGACAACCCAAAGACAAACCTACCTTTTGTCTCTCAACGTTAGCGGGGAGAAACTGTGATGTCATTGTGTGCAATAACAGATGTTGTGTGCATGTGTTCATGAAAGAGCCTGTCTATCAAAAACTAAATGAACTGGAGAAAATGTTTAGTTTAGCAGCAAATTTTACTTTGCTTTGTATGTTGATGTCATACCTGGTTCATATTTGAAGAAGAGAACTTGAACACAGCATGAGATGAAGGATAAAACCCCTGTCACACTGACTGAATGAAGCAGTCTTCTGGTGCATCTATTTATTTTCAAACTTATTTTTATATTTACTGATAGATGCTCTATGGGTGGGAATTGCTATCTACTCATTTTACCTGGTGATTTTTATACAACATTTAACAGATGAAATTATCAGAAAGATGTTTCTTACTAGCATGTAATCAAGGTATATGGGCTGTGGGGGGTATTTATAATATCTGCTGCTTTTCTGCTTGTAGTCATTGAAGATTAGATATCACTCAGCTTTAAGAGATGCTATGATTTCTATAATCTTTATTAAAGAAATGTCCTACTTGGAAAACCTAGTGAATGTATTGTCTTTGTGTGTGTGTGTGTATCTGCTGTGCAGTGTGTTGTTGCTGCATTTGTAGGCACAAACATTTGCCTTTAAGAAATAAGTATTAGGGAGTGTTCAGCAAACAATATGTGTGAGTTTCACAGGCCTTGTGTCTGCAGGGTGTGTTTTTTGCATTATAGCTCCTTGTCTTGAATCAGAGTTTCCAGCACATGGTTTATGTTTAAGCTGGGCCGGAGCATGCATCGCTGCTGCAGCTACTCAGGAAATATTCTTTGTGGCTCCTTTTTGACTCATTTTCTTTCTTGCTCTCCAGCTTCATAACTGCATTATGATGTAAATAAACTCCAGTTTGTGATAACTGAAGCCACAGAAATAACTGCAGTATGGGTACTTCAGCAGAAAAACTCTGTGATGGTACCCTGGTCTTTGTACACATTTTATGTACTTTGAAAGATCTGATTAAATCTGAAAATGAACAGAGAGCTTCTGTTCAGTGTCTAATGAGTCCACATTTATGGTAGCAGCTCTGTGAAGCTGTACTTGAAGCTAACTGCTATCACTAGCATTGTACATACTCACTGTAACAATGCTAACATGCTTATGTTTAATAGGTACAATTCTTACCATGTTCACCATCTTATTGTGAGCAGGCTAAAATTTGTCTATTAGCACTAAACACAAAGTGCAGCTTATGCAGGCATTTCTAACTTGATAATGGCACCAAAGTTATCACAAGTCATCCTGGGGGAAACAAGATATTTAACTCAGTCCACAAATGTCAGCCTCAGATGCGAGAGGAACAGTCAAGGGATCACAAGTCAAGAGGTTTCATCCTCTGGGGACCATGAATAGCTGTACAAAAATTCATAGCAATCCATTCAATAGGAGGGAACAATATTTCAGTCTGGACCAAAGTGGTGAACCAACAGACCAACAATGCCATTCCTAGAGGGCCAACGTGCCTAAAAATGTGTAAAAGTAGCTGAAGAAAATCTCCATAAAAGTAGACAATAAAACCCGTACATTCCAATGTATTCTTTCCAACCAAGTCACTGCACTGCAGGATAGCATGGCTTCCTCATCAAGAAACACTACAGGTCAAAAAAAGTCACAGCGTCTGAATGAAACCTTCACGTGTCAAAATAAACCGTTTAGTTACTTTGGTCCAATGGTTCACGGGCCACATCAGCACCAAAACACACACTTTATGACATCATTAGAGGAAAACCTCTCTCTGACACTTGACTCACACTTTTCATGGGTCTGGTTTGACTATCAAGGCTGTGACGAACTGCAGTGTTAGTGCCACTGAGTTTAATAAAAAAAAAAAGTTTCTTCTTGAGTATTTCAAGCACAAAGATCAGTATTTTATTTTATTTGATAAAGTGACGGTAAAATGAGTTCTGAGGACGGCAACACAAACATTACCTTGAATTACAGTTGCTCGAGCCTCTAGCTGTCAAAAGAAAGGCTCTTTTCAGGAGGAAGAAAGCTTTGTGATTGAGCATCGGATTCGGCCTTAATTGAAACCTTATGTGTGGCATGTGGAATTCTGGGACTTTGGCACGCTCCCAAGAATCCACAGAATGTGAAACTTTTTTTCTGCCTCCCTCTCTCATTTTCTCCTCTCCCTCTCTTTTTTCCTATTTGCAGGGGTGTCTTACATCAGCCCAGTGAGCCCTGGTGAAGGAGGCTGACGGACAGAGAGTGAGCGAGAGAGAGAGAGAGAGAGAGAGAGAAGGGCTCAGATTGTAACATCCAGCCGTTTTTGCCTCACTGGAATAATCCAAAACCACCTCCGAACAAATGGTCTGAAAGGATAAGACGTCTTAGAAGTAAGTCATCCTTTACACTTTTCACCATAACACATCTCTGTTTCATATCATCGTTTGGACTGTCAAGTTAGGACTTCAAACTCTGACCACCTTTCTTGAAGCCTATGTGAAAGTGCCTTAAAGTTCCCTTGTAAGTATTCCATAGTGGGAGCATTGCATGTTTGAACTCCATGTACCTTCTGTGTGAAGTAGCTGCTGTTTGCACGGCAGACAAGAAGACTGGACAGCTGCAGATCCAGCTGTTTGAAACTGAAGCCATTACACACTGTTTTACTTTGCTGATGTTGGATGTGAACAAGGCTCATTCCTTCATTTAAACACCTTTTGATGATCAGGCTTCTTTCTAAACCTCTTCAACCTTGAAACAATATTTTTTATTATATATAAAATTCGGCGCCTTCCTTAACAAATTCAAATTACAATGACATTTCAGAGCTTTAATATATGGCTGTCTGGAGGCTGGAGTGTTTACTGCATCATACAAATGGCTCTCTATTGTGCAGATCGTCTCGGACTCAAAGTTTTTACAAGCGGCAAAAGAAGTGTAAAAAATGTAAAAATTATGTGACTCTTGTCGGGTCGCCTTGCATGAAGCTCACCAACATATTTGTTTGCTTTATTGTGGCGGTAGTTAGGAGCATGTTCTGGAAAAGTTAAACAACTGACTCATTTATGGCCGCTTCGATTCTCTCAAAGTTTACTGTGGTCAGCTGATGAAATGTTGAATGCTCAAGTTACAGCTTTGAGAAAAATTTCCATCCCCCACAAGACACATCCTGCTTTTGTGTCATGGAGGTGGTGTGTATGATCCTCAGTATTATGTAGGTGTTACGTAGGTGGTATGTAGGTATCCTCCTGTGGTATTAGGGTGATAGATGTCCACACACAGGCCTCTTTTCTACCTCTCTGAAGTTGCTTGGTAACTCAACTCAACACTCATCTGAAGAGTTAAGAATATGAATGAGCTCACGGCTCATAACGGCAGACTCGCCAAAGGTGGCACTGATCAATGGAGTCATTGTTATGGAGAGGTCAAGGTGATCCTCTTAGGTCGCTCTTGGTGGCTGTGTGCGACCACAGTAAGTGGGCAGACTTTATGTCTGCACAAATGGTTGCTCTATGTTTATGTTAATGTTGTTGTTGGCTTTTCTAATAATGCAAATAATACCTGATGCTGTCCTCACTGCTTTCATAACATTAGTGAAACCTGTTTTCTTATTACTCAATTGATGACAAATTTCCTAGTTAATTGCATGTCATTTAGCACACACAAATCCCAAACATTGTTTCCAGCCTCTCCAGAATGATTATTTACTCCTTTTCTCAATTCTACTTCATTGTAATCAAAATTAGCAGTTATTTAGTGTTTTTTTTAGACTAAATATTTAATGTATTAATAGAAAAAGATATAAAAGTATGTACTCATGAGCTGCTGGCTCATAAGGCAGGTTGTACAGCAAGAGTTTCAGAAAGGTTTACTGTTTATTTTTGTCCTGAGATATTAAGATAGAATATAACTTCAAATGTTCAGGCTACATGGAACTGCAAATATGTCTTTTACTACTGTGATTAACAGAGAAACTCTACCTTAAAAACCTCAAACACTGTTAAAACTCTTCTTTGAGTATGCTATACACTTCTGGGGAGATTTAGAATTTTGTCAACTGTGCACTGTTTGGACAAAAGCGCTGCAGATGTTAGATCAGCAAATTTTCTTCATCTACGATATTGTGTAAAATATTTCTATCTAGTCCAACACATCAATAGTAAACATTTGTCATTCCTTTAGAAAGGTTCAATACTCATGTTCATATTTAAATATTCTGATTCCACAGGTTTTAAGCAGAATGCAGCACAGGGCCATGGTGTGTTTTGATTTTAATGAGGAATGTAACTTATTTTTACTTTGTTGCTCTTATTCTGCTACCAGTTTTCCCCTCTTCGCCCAAGTGCACGCTTCTTTCTCTGTGCAGCACCGAATCCTGGGGGACAAAGAAGTAATGGAAGTACACTTAGACAAGGCAAGTCGAGGAAAAAACAAGAAGTGCAATTACAAAACTTCACCACAAATTAAGTCCAGGAACGCACTGATCACCACACACTGACTATTTATGACGCCATAAGAGAATAGGGGCGTGGATATTTCCTTCAAGGCTTTTTGTTGTGTGCTCTCAAGGCTGGATGAATAAATGGGAAAACCATCTTTATCAGAGTAAATAAGCTCTTTGTCAGTGTAGAATGGAGGAGTTATTGCTTATGATGGGGAAATATATGACATGCCTGTGGTGGATGTAGGTGGGGAGTGGATAATGTACTCACATGTAATGTTTATTTTTTAGGACAGTCGGAAAAGAAAGAGAGAGAAAGTTCAAGGGGGATTTCATCTCACGCCATAACTCCATAATTTGATATTTGATGAAAATGTACACACATTTAAAGACTAAAACACACACAGGGGTGGATAGGATGAGAGAGAGAGTATGTAGAGGAGCCACATCAGGAGTGTGCTATCATTGCATCTTTCTGACATGTCATTTCAATTAGCAATCCTTTCCTCCAGAGTTTGGAGGCTGACTGACATCCTCGTGTACAGACCCTAATCACACACCACAGCAAGGGCTGTAATTTCAACCCCACATTCAAAACACTGCACTGGAGGCACCCGGTGCTTACTAAGCTTAGCTCTAACTCGACGCAGACGCTGTTTGATTGGAAGTGTTTTCAAATCAATGATTCTGGCAAGAGAAAACCAGCTGTGCACTCGCTAGCTGAGGTGCATGCTGTAATTTGGTATAAATAGATGCATTTCAGGGAACATCATCCCTTAAATACTGCGCTGTTGACTTTGTATCCCACACTCGCTTGAACTATGACCCTGTCTAAACCAGCACCCAAATCACCTACCATTTGAAGGGGGATTAGGTTACTCGTAGCCTAAAGCAGACTGCATTTGGCCCTCTTATTTCTGAGCTTGAATTACTTGTTTGTCTCTGACTTGAAAACTGCATACAAAACCAGAGGGGATTTAGCTGTAGTGACAAAAATGTCTCTCTTGGAAAAGAGATTGAATAAAAATAATTGTTAACATTTACATTGGGCTGCTACTTTGGGAAATGAATCACGAAAAACCAAAAAAACAGCAGAGGAGGTAAAAGATGGATGCACATACACA